TGGAGAGCTTTTGGGGCTGCCTGGCGGGAATCTGACATTGGCCAAGGACAAGGAAATGAGCTGCTTGGAAGGAATCTGACACAGGCCAAGGACAAGGAAATGGACTGCAGGCAGGAATCTGACATTAGGCTAGAACAAAGAAGTGGGCTTCAGGCATGAAATGACTTTGGGCTAGGACAGGGAAGTAGGCTGGGATAGTTTGGTCATCCTGATAAGTCCTTAGAAATAGTGATCACGGGAATGACTCTTTTTTGTCCTGTTTGTCCTTTGACTACCTGGGTTTATTGTCTTGCTTGTTCCTTGACTATTTGCATCTATTCTATTGCTAGTTCCTCAACCTAGAACTGACCTTAATACTTGCATGTAATTTAAACGGTATAAAAGCAAAAAGGGAGGAGGGATGGGATAGGGGATTAATAGGGGGGGATGGAGAAAGGGGATAATATCTGAAATGTAAATAAATAAAATATTGAATAAAAATAATAATAGTTAAAAAAAAAAAGGTCAGTGAGCTGCTCTGCTTGGTTACCCAGCAGCCTGGTTTTAGCTCAGGAGAACTGAGGAAGGGAAAGCCCAAGATCTTGGTCTCAGAGAAGAAATGCCCTGTCCTCCTCCTTTGGTTCTGGTTAATTTCAAAAGAGACACAGACAAGGCAGCGCCGTGGAGATGGAGATGTCCACATTCTCCTGCTCTGTTTCTGCTAAGGGCCCACAAAGCATCTGCTTATTACTCTTCTGCTAACTTCAAAGCAGTCATCAATTAGAAGTAAAAGGCAGAAGGAATCCAAATAAACTGCCTTTGAAAGTCTCCATGAGTTTTCCTGGGTAGGGGATCTCTCTCTGATCATTATGTCTTTAGATATCAAGTTGTGGGGCTCAAAGGTAGAACACTCATCTAGCATGTATGGGGCTCTGATTCTAATCTCTCATTGCAAATAGCCAAACAAAACAATGCAAGTAACAACCTTTCCCTATAAAACAGATGCTATGTCTCATAGACTCACACAGTGGGACTCCAAGCATCAGCAGCTCCAAAGAACGAGTTTCTGCTTTGGCCTTCTCCCAATAACTACCTGCGCAAGCTTAGATGGTAGAGAACTTCCTGGAAGCCTAGTTCTGTAGTAGTATTGTAACCACGCTTTGATTAATGAAAAATTTTGAAAACCTTTAAATTGTTTTGGAAGTAAACTAGTATCACAGTCAAGCCGTTCACTGAACTGACAATTATGTCTGATTGTTTTAGTGGGTCTGACAGAGTCTTTTGCCTCTACTGGTGTTCTGTGTTAAGCACTGTGTTTGACTTAATGGGCAGCTTCAGAAGAGCTATGTGCAGGACTTGACCTTTGAAAAGTGAGTCTAGCAGCTGACAAGGGGATGTAAGGAAACCCAGGAGAGTGCATCAGGAGAAATCTAGTGCTGGCCACGGTCCCAAAGCAGTGGACTGTGGGGTCAGCTGGGGTTCTGTGTTTAATGCCTGTGGAACTTTATAATGTGCAGTGATGTGCAGTGAGTGGTACCCACTGTGCATGTGTGTGCTGCATGCGTGTGCTGGATGTGTGTTGTACATTTCAGGGCTGCTGCTACCTGAAGAGCCTCTCCATCTAGTCTCAGGAGCTGGCAATTTGGGCGATTAATTTAAAGTGTTATCTCTCTGATCATTAGTGGAGCTGTTCTCCTTTTCAGATTATATAGAAACCAATGGAAACCTTCTCTTTGAGAAACTGTGACTTGATTTCCTCCATCTGTTTTTTACTTTTGAAAAAGGACCCCGTTATTTGGAGTTATTTGGATACTAAGAGACCATCCGTTAACTATGTACGTTCAGTGCTCTTTGACAGTTAAAATCCAGAATATTGCTTTCGTAGGCACAGTCTATTGGTAGGAGCCAACAGAGCAGCCTGCTGCTCCTCCTCCTTCCCCACAGCATTAGGAATGAGGTCCTCTTATATTCCTCCTGCTACCACTTCCTGACTCTGCTGTCTGTCCAGGGTCACTTTGTCTGACACTTACATTTGCAAGCCAAAACTGTCTACACCTCTAAATAATCTGCCATCTTCCCTCTCTGTAAATATGACTAGGTAGCTCTTGTAATCTTTTTTGGCCTGTCTATGTCTTGTCCCAGTCACGACTGTGTCGTTTACTTGACTTCCTGCTGTATGGAGATCACACAGATCCACTGGAAATCATTTATCCAGGAGTTAAATCCACAGCAGAGTTGCCATGGTTACTCCTTTTACCCGTGTGTATGTGTTTATGTGTACGTGTATGGATGTGGAGACCAGAAACGGAAGTCGGGTGTCTTTTTTCAGCTGCTTTCCATCTTCTTTATTAAGACAGCATGGATCATTGAACCTGGAGCTCAATGATTGGGCTGGATAGGCTGGACAGTGAGCTCCAGGGATGTGCCTGTATCCACTCAACCTCCCTAACACCAGCACCGTGATGAAAGATGCATAACCCCCTGCTGAGCTTTTCCTTGGGTGCCAGGGATCAAAACTTGGGTACACATGCTTCGACCACCGACCCACCTCTCCAGTCTCTACTACAAATACATTTCTTAATATATATTGTATATATCATGTATAATTTTGTATATAATTCTTAATAGACAGATATAGGGTTTCATTTAGATAGTTACATATATACAGACCTGTTATTTAAATATATATGAATATATTCGTAGATAGGTACTAATAAAATATTATTTGTAAAACAAAGTTTCAGAGTCACGTGATTAGTAAGAGTATATTTTTCTAAAATGGAAGTATATAAACATATATATGTGTGGGTAGCCTGGCCTTGTATTTTGACGCTAATTCTCCTTTCCTGGGAAGGGCTGCAGAGGAGGAGTGAGTCAGTACACAGTTGAATTGTAGTGAACCTTCTGCCCACCTTAATTTGTAAAATAGAGGCTAGAGCCAGTGATTGAGCAGTAGAAGGGGAGGTGGAGAAATAAAGGTTTGTGGGAAGAGAGAGAGAAAGATGACAATGGGGGAGGAAGACGATGGGAGAGGACTACGAAGACGCAGGAGGTGGAAGGACAAGCACATGGCTTGGAAAACCCACAAGTTATAAGGGACCTCATAGCTGAAGAATAGAGTAGTGTAGTGCTGAATCTGGCCAATCTAGGCGTGCAGCTTATATTCATAATTATTGAGTTGTGTTTTCTTTAACTGGTGATATTTAGGTAGGAAATGTACTGCAACATATATATATATATGTATATGTATGTATATATATGTATATGTGTATATATATTTAATATATATACATATGTTATATATAATATTTATATATTATTTATATATAAATAATATGTAAATAATTTCTGCTCTGTATGTATGTATAAATTACATTGTTTACACAAAAAATAACATGACCAATACTACATTGTTACCTTAAAGGAACACATCATATGTAAAGGGGAAATTTTATGCTTTATACTTCTCTGCACTTCAATTTACCTAAATACACGTTTATGACTTTTACATACTAAAATAAATGATTAAAAGGGACATACAGGTGGTCTAGAGGCGGCTCAGTAGTTAAGAGTACTACCTACTCTTGTAGAGGACTTGGGTTCAATTCCCAGCACCCACATGGTTGGTTTATAACTATCCATAGCTCCAGTCCAGTGGATGTGAAGTTCTCATGCAGGCAAAATGTCCAGGCACATAAGAGAAAAGTCAAGTCTATTAACACTACTTTGAAGTTCTAGCTTAATTAGAAGCGTGAGTTCTGGCTCATGACTCCCTGCTCTGCATTTCCCTTGACTGTACCGTCCTGTTGCATTGCACTGCTGAGCACTGTAATGATTATTATGTTCACTGTCGAAATCAGTACTAGGAAAACTTAAATAAAAATCTACTGACTGCTAATTTCTACCATCACAAAGTCTTCGCATTTCCCCTCATGTAGCTGTCAGTGTTCATGGAAACTCCAGGTGATAGCGTACACAACTTTTAGACAGTTTCCAGAACATTCCCGTAATAGTCAATTTGGGGAAGGATAAAAGGATAAAAATATCAAACTGACAGGCAAAAGTAAAAACAAATGAACAAACAGCATGGAGGTGGGAATTCTCTTACCCACTAAGACAGGAGCAAAGCTGTGCTATAAGGATGTATGCCTATGCGAAGAAACTAGTTCTCCACTGTACACATTGCGGTATCAGTGATGCCACACCAAACGTAAGGGAAAACCAAAACAAAACCCACATACCTTTCTCTTGTAACGTTTTCTCAGTGGCTTGGTGGAGGCAAGGAGAGTCTTCTGTATCATGATCAGATGTTGAAGGCGAGGAGGGTGAAGTGTCTCCCGAGACAGAGGAGAAAGGGTCCCTTTCTGGCTGCTGTGACCCTCCTGGAGACTCAGTCGTGTGGTGAGATGAGAAGACCCTAGGGCTCGTCACAGGGGTGAGGAGTGCGACACCACACTCTGATTCTGGTGAAGGAACTCTCCAACCCTTGGGCAGAAGTGATTTGGTAACATGTGTGGTTATTGAGTGTCTGAGGGCTGTTGGTATAAGAGGTTATAGAGCAGCTTCTGCCTGAGCATCAGGGCTGTGCAGCATTTACTCTGAAACGGCCCAGCCTTGTCCTGGGAAAGGAATGTTTCTTTGTCGGCTTATCACTGAGAATGCACAGTTCATAAATACTCACCAAATAAACAGTGCAGCTAACACAGGCGCCTAAGGCATGTAGAAACAATTACTGAGATGTTCGTTATTTTCTACTGGATTAGAACAACAGCTGAATATCTAAGGCATCACTATGAAATACGGCGATGTGGGTAACACTTTTGTCTACCTTACTGAATGGAGAAAGAAATTTAAATGACATCCATATAGCAAATTGAATATAAATTTAGGAGACAAAGACATAAACTGTTCCACTTCCTTCCAAGTAAGGCGCAGATCAGTAAAATAACTATCACATTCAATAAATACACTGGCGGACAATGATACTCTCCAAGAGTCTGACAGCCACTGAGAGTGCTCACCTTCCGCTCCAGGCTGTCCTCCCCATCAGTTGAGCTGACACTGTCATAAAGCCGTGTCCTTGTGGGCCTCTGGCGCCTGTTCTTCACAGAGAGCTGGGCCCGAGTTTTCAATGCTTTTGAATCCAGGCGCTCTGTCTCTGGGACTGCTTCATTCAAGTCTGGGAAGAGTATTGAAAAATAATTTGTGAGAGAAAATGGTAGAGAGGACGGGCGGGGACCACAGACACTGAAACCCAGCCACTGGTTATCAGTGACAAGGAGGACAAATGCCAATTTTTCCAGTGTGTCTAACACTCCATAGGTGACACTCAGGGAGAATAAAGCCTTTCTGCAACACACTATACAAAGCATAGGTTTGATCTGGCATATGGATACACATGTTGGGGCATTTGATGAGCACAGTTACAAGAGACCTAGAAACTCTGTGGATTAAGTCCGGTCGCCAAAGTCAAGTGTGGGTAACAGAAGGTGACCATAAGCACAGAAATTCACTAATAGGCTGAGGCACTCTGGTCTTTATTGTCTGAATATCTAATTTATTTCCCTTTGAACTCTGTAAAAAAAATAAACTAGAAGAGAATTTATTTAATCCCAGCAAATTTAAGTTAAACCTGTTTCCTTAGAACAAGATCTGGTTACACAAACCGACCGACAGCTGGATCACCCCGGTGTGTAACTTTGTGTGGAGAAGGAGAAGGATTTCATCTTCTAGCATTAGGTTCCAAGCTACACTCCAAGCCGTTTGTTAATGCCTCTCTTTCATTTCTTTCTCTGAATACTTTCTCTTTTCACTGAAAACTACAGTACTTTTCCACAGAAAAATGTTTACATCTTAACATAAAAGGACTTCAAGGGAAGGGCTCAATGTTTATGAGCAACTATTGGTCTTATAGAGCACCCAAGTTCAATTTCTAGCACAGACATGGCAGCTCACAATCATCACCTGTGACTCCAGGTCCAGGGACTCCAGTGCCCTCCTTTTACCTCTGCAGACATCAGACATACATGTGCACATACATATATGCAGGCAAAACATACACATAAATTTTTATTTAAAAAAATCTAAAAATAAAATAGAGAAAGAGAAAAGACAAAGAGAGAAGGAAGGAGGGAAGAAACGAAGTAATATGAACTAGCAGATAAAAACCATAGTAACAGCAGTTGGGCATGGCAGAATGGGGCTGCTACCCCAGCACTCCGGAGGCTAAGGTATGAACACCACTCTGGATTCAAAGCCAGCAAGTGTGAGTCTCCACAAGAAAACTCAAACCCAACAGATACCCAACAGTGAAAATGCTACCCAGAGCCTTCCTGTGGTCCTCTGTACTTTAACAAGGTTCTTACGATTTGGAATATTGTTGGGCACACATGGGGGGGAAAGGAAGTTTAGCTACAAATATTCCCACTGAGGTTGTAGTATATGAGCACTGATTGAAATAAAGTCTTTATTTGGAGGGGAACTACTCTTTATATAGATATACCTGATCACTTACTGTAAATAAAATCATTTAATGATTAATCCCATCTCTTTTCAGGATGGCAGTCATTAAACAAAGTCACTTTCAAGATATTTAGTGACCCTGGATTTATATTATTAAAAATAAGCCAATAACTCAGCTATGGGCAACTAATATACACTTGTACTAATGGAAAGGAGTGTCTGGCTACCATCATTAGTTAGTACAGGTTATTTTTATAGCATTATTTTAAAGCTGTGCCCTAAACATATTATAAAACACATACACAGAAGGACCTCGGGTGGCTTCTCTCTTACGTATAACACTGAGTGCTTGGCATATAGTTCTAACAAATAAAATTCAGTGTACTTTAGTCCAGGAGACACACCACTGAATGACAATATCTACAGAAGGTTGGACTTTTCATTTCCTATACCAAGTGAAGAATGAACCCTCAGAGAAGTCAGACCACTCAAGCAAATATAAAGAATAACTAAATGCTTTCTAATTAGGAGTCTCTACTTTTACATGCCAATAGAGAAAAAAAAAGTCACCTTCGTCACTTTCATTTCCTTCCTCCGATAAAATCTATATTTGCAGCTGCCCATTAAGAGTTCATTAGTTGTGATAATTGGGAGAAAGTCAACCTTACAATCTCTGTTTACACATAAAAAAATGCAGAACACCACGCAGATGAAAGCAATAATATATCTGCCTCAAAGTTGGATTGCATGCTCTGTAATGCAGAGCACTGTCACACACGCCATCTCGTTTGTGCCTCATTACACACCCACGAGACAACAAGCAAGCAGGTTGTTTCCTCTCCTGAAGCTCAGGAAATTAGAGTAGCTTGTCCTCCTCTACACAGTTAGTGGATGAACTGCTTTGATTATTCTATGTTCTGTCTCCCGGGCTACTAGCTATCCATCCCAATTTAGTTAGTGTTGAAAAGTTAATACTGCAAGATTTTAATACCACAGAGATGTGTTTTAAAAGTTCCACCATCATGGATGCCGGGAGTGGTCTAGGAAATTCAGATCTCCAGCCTCTACTCTGTAGGTTTACTACATTGTAAAAAAGGGAAGACTTGTTGAAAGCTATAGACAGATTCCTTTACAGATGGTTTTATGGTTTGATAACAACTCTGGTTAGTACATGACAAGAGATACTCAAAGAAGAGGTGCATATCCCACTTGTATAAATATGGTTCCATTGGCAATAGAATCTTTGCTTTTAAACACAGTGTAGTGTCTCAGCTACAGGACTGCAGAATCTACCCCATTGCTTGTAGTGAGCAAATGAAATGAAGGGAACAGAATGAGGAGACTGGAGAAGGACTTATTAGCAGGTATAAAACTGCGGAGACAAATACGTACTACGGGTCCTGTTACTATGGAGTAGCCCTGTTACTATGGAGTAGCTTGCCTGGTGACGCTGACGGTGTCTGGACCATCTGTTTCAGCATCCCCTCATCATAAACAGCAACTGTGCATAAAAAAGATGCACTGAGCTTGTCTAAAAGGCAATGCTTTAAATCCATTACCCAAGTGGCCAACAGCACATTGCTCAAACAAAATGCACAACTTCTGAGAGCCTGAATCAAGTGTCAGAGACACTTTATTGCAGACATTATGGATCACAAACCAGTAATTTATTTTCCATCCTGAAAAGTGATGGTTTTTAAAAGAACCAGAAGAGTGGAGCAGTGCTGAGAACTGTCACCCTGATAGCACTTACACAAGGGGGAAGCTAGAAGGAACACTGTCTACAGGAAGATGAGCAGTGACAGGCAGGAAGAATCCATGGACGTAAGAGACGCAGGCTGCTGGGTAGCCAGACATCTGCATTGCTCTCCATTATATGCTAGCTTCTTCCACTAGGCAACTTAAGAATCACAACTCCGAAGAAACTTGGGATTCTGGTCAACTTTATTCCTCATAAATGAAGACTGAGGCTCAAAGGTGGCCTCTCACTTCGGCACCAACTTGCACTATACAGTTACTCTGTGAAACAGCCTAGAGAGAACTCAGGTGTAGAGGCTATGCTCTTTCTACAAGGTCACCCTTCTGTCTGGAAGTGAACTTTATGAGCAATCTTGTGCCTCGTATAAGCACTTTTTCTATTTTACCTTATGCTCTATGAAGAAACATATGCCAAGAGTGTATAATGCTGCAAACTCACAGAAGAGTGGTCTATCAGGGAGAAGAAAACTCTACAGGATTTTATTGGGCTTTGCATATATCCCAAGAATAAAATTCTTACCCTAAAAAATTAGCTGTCATTTTGGGTGATGGCAGTATGGCAGGGGAAGTCCACCTGGCTGTTTCTAAGTTAAGTGCTGTGAGATAGGAAGGCTTAGGTGGCCATGTGCGTCACTTCTTTCTAAGAGATATCCTCATCACTATGGCAACGCTGTCCCCTCAGCCCTAGGCCTTAGCCCTCCCTCCCCCTTTCTCTCTTCTTTCTGATTCTTGTTTTGCTGTTCAGAAGACAGAGGAAAATTGCTTTTCTCTCTTCTGTCTTCTGATTTATTCTTTCCTTCCAGAGCCCCCATCTGTGAAGCAGCACACCACAAATGCAAATGCAGGTAGACAAAACCCAAGGTGGAGCGGCCTTGAATAGCCAATAAATATGGAGGGACGCATTCGGAGACTCTCCAGGAGGGAGCTAAGGATGGAACTTTGAGTGGGTGGGACATGGCTGTACCTGCATCTCAAGACTACTTTCAATATTGCTTTAAATTGGTTCTTTTAAAAGAACTTAATGGATTCGGTTATGATTTTAGTAGCTGCTATGAAAACGCTCTATGAAATTAGGACTTTATATGTCATCTCACAGAGACCAGTTCTGCACAGCACTGCTGTGAGTCATTCGGTGTTTTTCACTGCATTGACGTTGTTTTTGACGTAAATGGAATGCTGCTGGGGGATCAGGCCCAGACAGCAGGGAGAGCAGGGATGGAGAGGAATAACAATGTGGTCCACTGTGCATTCTCCTGTGCACTGAACCCCTCAGAATACAGTCCTACCTGGCTTCTGCTCTTGTCAACTGAAATTCTGGGCCTAATGAGGCACTGGATGGCATTTTGAAACTTAAATGGTATCTGCATATTATCCACAGTCACTGCAAGTTCATAAAAGATGGACCCTTGGGGATTTGAAGGCTGACGCATATTGCATTCAGGTGGTAGGTTTAAGCATCTCAGAGAGGCAGTGAGAGTTAGGTGAGCAGACCTTCAGCTCAAATCCAGAATGAGCTGCCATGACATAAAATTGGGCAATTTACCTAACCTCTCAGAGGTCCCAGAGGATCTTCAACAGCAAAATGGGAATGGTAATGACACAATATAATCACTGCATTGTTATGAAGATTGAATGCATTAACAGACCTCAGAGTGCTTAGAAGAGTGACTGGCACATAATAACCACCTCACAACTGTCTTTATTTACTGCCACTGAACAGATTAGTAAGAATAAAGCAAGTTATAGAATAACATGTACTTTCACTTAAAATATTTAGAAACGAGTATCCGACATATTTCCTGATAGTGAAATACGTACAATTACACAGGAAAACTGAAAAGATAGACTTCTTGCTAGACTCTGAGATCGGGAGATGTGAGGCACATAGTACTTTAATACTCACAAATGCTAAGGATTTTGTATGAGACATTTTGTTTTGTGTCATTTTTTGTGCTTAAC